AATAGTGTCAAATATAGCTTCACCTTGACGATTACTCAACTGAATTCCTCTCAAAAATGTTGATGTATCTTGTCGAACATTTTGACTAAAATGCGAATAATCACCTAGAGAATCGCAGTGCCAAACAGTTGTATTCCAATAATATGGGCCTTCGGTTTCTTGTTTAGCCAATATGCAAGCAGCTGATACTTGTCTCTTACATCTCGATGAACTTGTTTCACATTGAGAATGACTCAAGAATACAATAAAGAGAATCAATGTTGCTACTTTCATCTTTTGCTTTTCGAATGAAGTCAGTTGGTATATTTGAAGAAGATAAAAAGTGAAAAGAACAATGTTCTCATCAGCCGTAGATCAAAGGATTAATCAAATGTCAACCTGTGAATTAATAAATGAATAAACGCCCTAAAAACTATTGTGTATTTAACAATATACTTCGAAGAGAACAGGAGTGGTCTGTAAAAAAACACAAGATGTTAGTGATCCCAGATCGAAGAATAAAAATAATGTACTAACATTTATCCGATTAGAAATTATTGAATGAAGAAAATCCGCCCAATAATCGCCAACAACGCATGTTTTATCCCGAGTGCATAAATCGAAGTCATTGAAATCTTCATTTGTCGATAGGTCTTTAAAACAAATAAAACATTTCTAATTAATACTTCCCGCTAGTAGAAGTGTTAAGAAGATTGCGATAACTTTAGATGAGAGAATTACAACGATCAGCAGAACGACGATCTTCAAAGTTCCAGGAAAATAGAATGACTCACGGTTGAAAACGCTGCTGTCAGACTTCATAAAAGCGCGATATTTGTGTTTTACCGATTTCATCAGAGTAAGGCTACTTCGAAACCAAGATTGTAAGCGATCCAGCAGTGGCAGAATTCCTACATTTCAGACATTCTACAGAATTCTAAAGAATTCTACATTTTTGCTGTGAATTCTACAACAACTCATTCACAGCTGAAACATGATAAGTCCGAGTTATTCTCAAAACAGAAATCTGGGAAATGTATAGAATTCTACGTACAGTACTACACTTAGAATTCTATAGAATTCTAGGTAAGCATAGATATATAATACATTGACCGAGTTTGAGTGAAGCGGAAATGTATAGAATTCTATAGAATTCTACGTATAGTACTAACGTAGACTTCTATAGAATTCTATACATTTCCGCTTGACTCAAACTTGGTCAATATTTTGTATATCTATGCTAACCCAGAATTCTATAGAATTCTATCACTGACTGGGAGTGGGGGCGGGGCTGGTCTGACGTGCATGAAAGTGAGTCACTAATCAACTATATTCGTACTAACGTAGAATTCTATAGAATTCTATACAATTCCGCTTGACTACAACTTGTTCAATATATTGTATATCTATGCTTACCTAGAATTCTACATACAGTACTATCGTAGAATTCTATAGAATTCTATCACTGACTGGGAGTGGGGGCGGGGCTGGTCTGACGTGCATGAAAGTGAGTCACTAATCAACTATATTCGTACTAACGTAGAATTCTATAGAATTCTATACATTTCCGCTTGACTACAACTTGGTCAATATATTATATATCTATGCTTACCTAGAATTCTACGTATAGTAATAACAAACTGATCGTCGTCATGTAAATTCAAATGACGATAAATCAAGTTTCACATGTTGCTGTCGTGAATATCCTGGTGCACTTTGTCCGAGAGGTACTACTGAAACTGAGCAGTTTCGTCCTGAATAAAAATGGACGCCTCACCCACATAAAAGCCGAACTAAAAATAATTCAAAAACTCATGTTTTCAGGGGCAAAACTAGTGAGTTTCAGTAGTTTTTCCCTAAAAAATGTATGAACTCTACCTCATGTAAAGATACCGCATTTTCGACAAAATAATTTTTCGACGAAATGCTTTTTCGCCGAAAAAATTTTCTGCAAAATGATATTTCGACAAAAAGCCTTCGACCAAAGACATAATTACCGTTTCTAGCTTGCTTGCCGAAAAACCAAAAAAATTTGATATTCGCAATTTTCAAAAATCGTTTTCAAAAACAACGATTTCTTATAGAGTTTGATCGAAGGTGTTCAGAGCAGACTTCCCAGATGGTCCGCATTTTGCGAACAAATTCCACATTTTGGAGTTTTTTCCGCAATTTGTCCGCTGTCCGCATTTTGAGAATTGTCTGCTTTTGCTGTTTTTCCCCTGTTTACACACAACATTTAAAAAAAGAATGTCTATCTGTTGAGCATTCTCTTTCTCATCCTATTGTCAAACCAACACCATCTTCAAACGTGCACAAATTAGTTTCGTTTATATTTTCGATTCCGTGCAGTAATTCATACGTCGAAAGTACACTTTCTTCCATGAAACATTTATTTAACGATAAAAGAAATCGTATGTCGACAGAAATGATTGCAACTAAAAATTCGCTTAAACTCATCGTTACTAGGCACTGAAATTTATAATTATTTCTTATCAACGCCAGATCTGCTTAAACTTATTCATTCTAATCAAAAATATACAGTCAAAAGCAGAATCACAGAGTTGCCAGATGGAGTGCCATAATCGACGCGGTTTTCCGCCGTGTTGGCATTGATTATGGCGCTTGAGCTGGCAACTCTGCCGGCACAAAGTCAAAAAAATGTTTTCTCTAGCACTTTGTGGTTTTATTCAATAAAACACAAGAGAAAAACAAACAGAAATGTAAGTCCCGATTTTAGTTGACACGTTTTTTGACTGTATATTTTTGATTAGAATCAATAAGTTTAGGCAGATCTGGCGTTGATAAGAAATAATTATAAAGGACGAGGTCGATAAGAGGCAAAATCGGCCCCCCTCTCAGCTCA